GTCCCTTCCTTCTTTTTGATGAAGAAGAAGGGGGACGAAATGGGTGATTTCGACTCCCGTATGTAGCCCTTCGCTAGTTGCTCCTTTAGGAACTTGTCCAGTTCCTCTTGTTCGTTGTTCAACAGGGGATACACCTTCGAGTGGAATGTCGAGTAGCCGGGTACGAGTTCGATCGCGTGATCATAAGGCTTCCTTTCGGGTAGCCGTTCTGATGCTTCTTTGGAGAAGACGTTCAGGAACTCGTGGTACTGTTTAGGTACCGACTCCTCGGCGGTCTTAACGACCTTCTTCTTGATCTCTTCCTCAGCGAACAGCTGGGAATACGTGTGCCCTGCTGCGACGAACAGCTGAGGGGCGCCGGGAAGCGTGATGCCTTGCTCCCAGGCCTCGATCAAATCGGCCTCATCCCATTCCACTTCCGCCGAATCTTCTTCGGGTTCGAAGTCCGGGAGCACCTTGCTCCGGCAGGCACCTATGACCGACCGTCTGGACTTCGGCGAACGCCTGCGCGCCGTGGGCCTGACCCCCGTATCACGCGTAGTTGCTGCTTGCTCCATCCGGCCAGTCTTCCTGGCACTGCACGTTTCAGGGCATCGTGATAATTTCAGGGAGCCTGACTCCCAATCGATTTCGGGGTTGTGCTCTCGCAGCCAATCCAACCCGACGATCACATCTTCTGGACCTATGTCCGTGACCGTGAACACCGTCTTTTTGACGTGCTCTCCTATCTGCATCTGTAGCACGGCTACTTCCGAGATGCTTCTGTCTTTATTGAGCGTTCCATCGATATTGTAAAGCGGAATTGGCTCTTTCAATTTCCGCGTTCGTACTCGATTCTCCTTGATGAAACGCTTGTTGATGAACTTCGTGGTGGCTCTGCTGTCCACCATTGCAACTATGTCCTTGTGCCGTCTTTCTCCTTTGAGGCGCACCGGGATGTGGAAATGCTGGGACCCATGGTCCAACTCGTACACATTTGCGGTCGCCAATACATTGTACAGATTATTATTACGCGGCCCGACGCGTGCGGCACGAAGCGCGGACCGGATCAAAAAGACTCCTCCTTCATTGCCCGATAGTGCTTGAGCTCCTCGCGCATCGACTTCATCTGTGCTATTAAGTCCGCCAGCTCGGAACTTTCCGATTTCGCTGAAGCGGCGCTTATACTCGCCGAGGATGAAGCGACGGGGGCGCTTGTCGCCGCCTGGGTGGAACCCGAGGCAACCGTAGCCCGCGCGTCGGCGCGTTTTGTGTAAGGTTTATCCTTACAGTTAGGGCACTCGAAACGACGGTACCCTTGCTTCCCGCAGCCAAAGCATGTACCGGGGAAGTTTCCTTTTCCGACGGCCGCATTGATGCTGGCCGAAGCTGCGTGCATCGTAGGTGCACCTCCACGTGCCCCACCGCGACCTCGACCTCGGGCCGAGAAGAAGTTGTTCAACTCGGGCCGACGGGCCCGGCTGATGTCGAGGATCTGCTCGACCTCAGTGGCTCGCTTTTCAGCGTCTCGCCACGTGGTGAAGGTCTCGAGCTCGATCTTGCGATATACGCGGGAGGGGATACCGCTCAGGTACTTGTCGCGTAGTTCCAGGTCCCCATACCCGGAACGGTCCGCCGGACCCTTGAACAGCGCGGAGAATTCTGCCGCCGTGCGTTTTTCGCGGACCGACTTGTCCGCGCAGAGCTTCGCCAGCTCTACCTGGGCTGCTGCCGCATCGTCGAGATTGCCGAAGCGAGCCTTGAAGGCAGTGGTGAAGGCCGCTTCGTTCCTGAAGGGGGTTGTAACCCCTTGCACACCCATCTGTACTGATGCGAGTTGGGCGAAGTAAGGCGTGGCCCAGGCGCGGGCGTCGCCATCGAGCAGGCTTAGCGCAACTTGTACCTTAAGCTCAATGGTCGTCAACGATGTGTTGATTAACCAGTAGATACGAAGTTGCGACAGGAACCTGTCGCATTCGATGACGGTTTTGCCGTCATAGCGGAGGGGGACGGGAGCTAGGGGAGACAGGGCGAGAGTGCCGCGAGGCCGATCGAGATGCTAGGGTGCTTCGGGGTCCGAGCGGGTGTTGCGCTCGTCGGATCGCTTTGTAGCGCGGGTAGTCTTCTGGGATCGATCGGGGTGTTCGGTTCGGGCACGGTTGCTGCTCGCAACGGTAGATGATAGTCTCAGGACCGTCTGGGATGTAGACGTCAATGAGGTCCTGTGAGTCGAATGCGTGGACTTGGCCTTGGCAGGCAGCCACGTTGGATGGGGGGAGGAAGGGGAGGTGCGCGTACTACGAAAGGCCGTGCTATACTAGCTTACACCTACGGCGCCCGAGATGACACTGAGATTCGCAGTTCACGTAGGGCCCAATACTGCTTTTGACTATTATGCAGCAGGAACCAAGGCTACGCGTCCGTGAGGACAAGTACCGCTCACTGAAGCGCAGGTACTGAAGAGTTCGTTTCTCAAGTGGTTGGCGATGTATCGTATGCGTATCTACGTATCGTAGGTACAGTAGGGGTGCGCACC